AAAAAAAAAAAAAAGATGAAAGCAATATGGTTTAAAAATTTAGAAAAATCATATATTAATACAAAAAAAATAAAAATAAAATTTTCTTATTTGATGTAATGATAAATTTTATATTTTATAAAAAATAAATATGATATGAATATATAAATTATCAAATCTATCAACGAATTATATTATTATTAAATATATATATAATTTTGAACGCCTATACATATAGCTCAAAATGTTCACATAATGACTATTTCATGGAATTAATTACTTCATGTTAACAAAACAGTTCATTGGCAATAATTAGTGGAGCAATTCTTTTCATATCTTTCTTTTTCTGAGTCTTTTGTCATGTGGGGGGCACTTTGGCCCATTCAAGATACATGAATTTGAGGAAACTATAAGATTAGACCAATTATTACTGTCTATCTAGTTTAAAATAGCATCAATTAACAAATTACTGAAGTTGATAATGAGGATACTCACTTTGATTCTTTTCTTTTTTTTTTTCATTTTTATTAATTCTATACCTAGGTCTTGGTTTATAGATTCAACCTAAAACTTTCTGATGTTCCATTCAACTTAAACAGTTGCAAAAGCATTGATGACTGTCAAGAAAAAAAAGTGTACAAACAACATGAGTTGTGGCTTTTTTGTCCCTCCATGCTGTACTGTCTAGTATAAATTTTTTGTACTAATAAAGTTGTTATTTAGGTTCCTTAGCAAAACCCTCACCCTAGGCATAGGATGTTTTTTTCTTTCATGTCATAATGATTTCTTCAGAAAAAAAAGGCAGAAAATAAGAAACAAAAATAATAGATGTCTTCTTATATGTTTCTTGACTTTCTTTTCTACGATCAAATATATATATATATATATATATATATATATTCACACGCACACACCGATAGTTATTCAATGCTTAGTCTATAACATGATTGCAATATTTGTTCAGTTGATTGCGGATTGTTTGTTCTTCTATACGTGTATACTAAAAGCATGAATCTGATAACTTGATAAGAATGATTCAGTCAAAAATCTTTACTTTTTTTTTTCATTTTAGAATTTAAATTTCATTTGCTCAATTAAGCACTCAAAAACACAGAGGAATATGTAGTTTAGAGCATGACAGGTTTGAAAATAAACATTCTAACAAGTCATTGTGACAAATTAAACGATAATTTCAAAGCCCAGCTTATTAATATGAAAAAAAAAATAGAAGAGGTTTGGGAAATCCTTGATCAATAAAAACAACCCAAGAATCTCCAATCTTCCAGCAGGACAACCAAATCCTATTCTTCAACAGTTCTATCTTCTCCTGCAGCTAATCAAAGATCATTATAAATCTTCGATTATAGTGTGGCTGGTTCAATTTGCCCTGCTGTTAAGGTTAAATTAATCTTCAACCAAATCCAGTCTGTCTGTTAGCATAGAGAATTGTGAAAAAAGAAAAAGTGTGGTAAGGTGTTGATCTAATTGCTAAGTTTGTTCATCTTGATGTAAATGATTTTGGATTTAAATGTTCTTATAATTTCTTACTTAATGTTAATTTTAAATACACAAATTATCAATACAAAATATTTTATTTTGTTCTGAGGGACTCAGCAACTTAGCTATGATCAACTGCAGATTTTTTGGACAAAAGCAAGTTATTAACGAGTTATCCTAAAGGGATTTCCAATGCCATGGCTGCAGTTTTGATTTCAGCTTCAGTACTAGCTGGGGGACTGGGAAGCTTGCTTTCTTCAATCAAGTTGGATGATATTTAGTCTTCTAAAGCTGTAGAACCTCAGGGCTCAGAGCCATTAATTGATTTTGTTACTATATTTTACGATTGCTTTGATTTTTATGGTTGATTGTATCTGAACATTTAACAATATAGGTCCATGGATTTTTCTGTTCACAGGAAAATAAAGAAATTTAATCAAATTAGGGGCTATTCTTAGATCTTTCTTATTTCTCATGCTTTTCCGGTAAATTCTTATCCCCACATGCACAAACAATTATTCTTCAGTTATGAAGCATGGATGGTGCACTAAATTACGGAAATGGGTCATCTCATGACAGTACTTTTTTGCTTTTATCCACAAATATCGCTTGAAAAGATATCATATATAGTCTCTATGGGTTGGTTTTTCTTTTTTTCTTCTTTGTACAGAGAATAGTTTAAGAATGATTATATGATCGAATTAAACTAAGGTTTTAATTCATATTTGAATCTAAATTTAACATCTCTTAAGAATGAATAATAAATCAATTGAATTAAATTTTAGATTTTATCTTTATTAATTTTAAAAGATGAATTAGCAGACAAAGGAGTTTTTATATCATCGTTGCTTAATATTAGCAAGAGAGTTACTGATGTGATTATCGGACAGCTTTCAATTAATTTTTATAGATATTGAAAAGAAAGAGAAAAGAGAGGCTTTCTATACTATTTTCATGATAACAATACCTTTGATACAAGTATGGGAAGGTCAAAAAAAATGGAAAAACCTTAAAAAGTATGATACTCTTACGTTCGAGATTGGCTTATTTATTATGAATTTTGAAAAATCAAGTTTGAATTCGTTTATTTAGTTTGATGTAAATGAACTAATCTCAAATGGAGGTGAGTTCCAAGCAAATTGAAGCAAATCCCTCTTTGATTTGCAACTCAATTTACAAGGCACTCCGTCGTTCGGGATTAAAAGGACTACATATTTTTTCCTGATTTCTCCAGCTTTTCCAACAAGAACTTGGATGCATTCCCATCTTCACCATAGCCTGTGCAAACCTGATTCTAAATGGAGTTTCATTTGATGCAAAACCTGAAACAATATCTTTGGATAATCTATCATTAGGTAATTAATTCTTCATCAATCTGCATTACCCCTCTCTTCAAATCAATCTGCTTGAAGTATTGATTATCAACAGTAAAAGATGTGCCCTGGTCTATAAATGCTGTAGGGTCAGGATTAGAAGCATTGGCTGCATTACAATGAGCTTGACAACCAAAGTAAGACCCATTGCAGGATCAGGGCGGCCGGTTCCTGTGAAATTTGTACTCCTGTCTAAGAAGAAACTAAAATGAGCAACACCAACTGCATATTCACCTAAAAGGGTAACCGTATTATCCATGGTCATATTTTTAGCCCTGAAGGCTTGGAAAGACTGCGAAACAGACAATGTTGATCCTTGCAAGTTTACTTCGTCAGGATTTGAGATTAGACCGTCCAATGGAAAGAGTGTTCAGTAAAAATTTGAAGAGTCCAGAAAAAATTTCCCTTTAAATTTTCTTGTTTCCAATTTTTGAGAATAATCATGAACACCCTACCTAAACACATGGATCCCCCCCTTCCTGTAGGAACATCAAATTTAGAACGTCAACAGGAGGATCAGACCATGGTCTACATTCCATCTGCTTCCCCTCTGAACAAAAAGTACGCTTCTGTCCATTAACCATAAGTTTCCTTTCTTTGATATATCCTTCACAAACTGCCTTCTGACAACAAGCACCGGCTCCCACTGAAGAACTTTAACTCGAGCAAGGAAGCTGGAATCTGAAAAAATTAAGATTAAGTTTGACATCTGTGCTTGTGTTATAAAACTATGAATCGAACCACAATTGTAATGCCAAAAGCTCGAATTGAAATTTGAGTTTAAAAATGTGACCTTTTTACGGTGATATTTCAAACACAATTATCCCAGCTTCATCAAAAATGCCAAACGGAGTCTAAGATGGTTATGGAAATATCATTCAAACCAAAAGGAAAATGAAATGAAAACTCACACCAAACATTCTGATAGATACCATGATAACAGACAAGAACTAAATGCAATCAAAACTTTTATAGCAAAAACCATGATTTTGGCCAGTCCACATTATCAATAATTAAATCTGATATTCAATTCGTTGCAAATAGTATTATTCCTATGAAATATTGAAACCCTGATCATGGTTACATCAAATTAACATAAATTTTTCTGCTACCAAGTAACTTTTAATCACCTAACTTGCTACTTTTTTATAGATACTATGAACTGAAAAAAATGGGATGTGTTATGGGAAAGCATTAGTGTAGGTACTGAACAAGGGTCCCTAACAGTTAAATGCCATTTGCTTATTAGAATTAAGCAGTAGTTTTCACTCTTTAGAGTAGCAAAATTGTATGCAAAATACTATCCTTTTCTTTTGGATAAAATGAAAACTTTATTCCAAAACCAAAAAAGCAGTAAAATATGCTACAAGATAAACAAGAAGGAATAGCCACTAGTGAAAACAGTATCCTTTTGGTTTTGTTGTATCTTAGATTAGTGAAATTTCAAATAAAAGTAAAATTAAAATAATCGAAACCTATGGATCAGTTATGGCCAGAAAAATATATGTGGATCGATAACCCACGGATCCAAAACTAGTCATTGTAAGCCCACTTAAATGTTCCATACATATAAGAGAAACTAGCTTGAGCTTATCGACTAGTTCAACACTTCAACTGCCATGAAAAATAGACCACAAATAAATAAATAAATAAATAAAGTTTAACTTGACTTGTCATGTCTCATAATCCATTAACCAGAAAATTGAAAGTTTTGGGCTTTTTTTTTTTTTTCTTTTGAACTAAAGTTTTGGGTTTTTTTTATTCAACTATGAGGTTGGGCATGGCCCTCCAAAATTCCAAAATCTCAAAAAAAATAAATAAATAAATAAATTTGAATCTAATATTAATTCTCTTAAAAAAAGTTAAAATACTAAAAAAATTTACAAAGTATTCTATTTTTCTTCAATAAGTTCTTTATCGTTATTGTAGCTAAAAAAACTTTTATTTTTTTATTTAGATTTAAATAAATCTTTATTTCAGGTAGAAGATAGAGATTTATGTTAAAACTATATTTAGATACAAATTAAAAATTAAAGATTTATTTGATAAAAATTAAAAATTATTTATTTATGTGCAATAAAATATAAAATTTTATTTAAATAAAGTGTCAAAAATTCAAGAGTTTTTTTTTTATTATTATTTTAACCTGAAAAAAGTAGTGACAAACTAACAATTATTGTGCCTGGCCTTGATTTTGAATTTGAATTAACATTTTCTAAAGGCTAATAAAAAGCAAGAATATTAACCATTCTTTTGTTCCTTAAAATAATGATAAGAATGACTTAACGATTTATAGCCATTTTAAAATGATGATAAGAATGACTTGGTTTATAGCCATTTTCTTTTCCAGGAAATGAGTCATAAAGGAAGGAAATGATTTATACCCATGGCGTGCGTGCTGAATCGTCTTCCTTTTTTTGGGCAAAAAGAAAAACTTTTGCTGAAAAAAAGGTAACGTATACAAAACTTCAAGTTTGAACCCTTTTTCTGTGGTAGAATAAAAGCTGCTATGGCTACTGCTTTTATCAACGGAAGAAAAGACTGCAAATTGGGAAGAAAAGACTGTAAAAAAGTTGAAAGAAGGTAGATATAATGGTCTACCTATATGAAGAAATACAGACTTCCGTGATGAACTGCATTTGATTTTGCTTAAATGCATTAGAAATAAATTCAAAAGAAAAAAGCCTGATGTTACTTGACTTTTCTTTTTGAAAATGAAAGAAAAAACAAGTAAATTGGTTGACCTTTCTTGTGGGAGAGAAAAGATTTTAAAGAAATGAATAGATAGAAGAAATCAAGACGGCAGAAAGAATCACACACCCGAATAATCCAACTTTATCGCTATGGCTATGACTATGAATAGGCCATGACTTTTTTCTGATTCATTGTGATAGCTGAATAGTAGTCCAGTTGTTCCGTGAAATACTTTTAAGAGATGATATCTTAAGATATTTAAAATTCAAATGAGGCTGTTATCTTATCTTTAGACTATGACCTCTTTTGTAAATATTGTGCTCTTCTGCCCAGACGTACAAAAGCTTATTTTATATTTTTGTCATGTCTAGTAAACTGTTAAAGGTTAAAAATATAGTTTCTGGAGTGAAAGTATCGAATTGATTTAACCTGTGGCAAAAAATAGAAACCTAACTTTAGATTATTCATATTCCATCTAACAGCAGTTGATGCAGCAAAAGGAGTTTGATAGATGGAATATGAATATTCCAACTACAGAAGCGGCAAAATTTTCACTTGTATGTTATTCAGTGCAATTTCAGCAACCCCAAACAACTGATCTTGCTGCAGCTGATAATTTCAGGAAACAAAGCATAATGAAACTCTTCTATCTGCTAGGAAAATTTTCTCCATCTTCAAAACTGGAGATATTGTACACGATGTTTTCAGAAGAATCAAAGGACAATCCGCTCATATTTTTGTTTCTTGTTTGTCGAATTACATCGAAAGAGATATGCAAGCGTATGAAATGAAATTTTTAGAATAGGCTGCAGATGATGAATACCACTCAATCACTGTCTTCTACTATTTAAATAACTCTCAAAGAAAAAGATACATTGCCTACCCTTTCAATAAGTGGAGCAGCTTTACTTCCCATGAGGTAGAGCTTCAGTGTTCAGATCAGAGAACAACACAGATCTCCCTGGTGCATAACAAGTACCGATGAAATAGATTTCCAGGCAAATATTACAGGGGACCCTTATGTGCTCTCTTGGAATGTGTGTGAACGAGAAACGGCTGCAGGGTTTGCTTCCAAAATTTGACTGCCATCCTGTAGATGGTCTTTACCTTCTGCTTTAGATTCAAAGGCATTGAAAATTTTACCTCCTCGTAAAGGGTCCTTCTGGTTGGGTTTAATACCTAATGTAGCCCATATAGGACTCCTAGAAACTTCATTTGGATCATCAATTCTTCGTGTCTTAGGAACAAGAAAGCACTTGTCTGATTGCTCCTCTTCGATAAAATTTGCTTCTCTGGAATGTTTGCCTAGTGTTGGTGAGCCATTGCCAGAGCAGCAACTGTTGCTATTAGAGGATGATGGAGATAGGCAACCACTGGAGCCACTGAATGACACATTTCCCCCACCAGCAGCCCATAGAGGCATACAACCCCAATAAGCAGGCACAAACTGCAAAGGAATATTTGGTGGGCAAAATCCAGGAACAGCCACCATTGGTGTAGGGCACCATTGAACTGCATTGGAAGTACTGCTATTTGTTGCACCAATATGTTCAGAAGAACACTGACCAGCTTCTATGGGTGCTACATTATTCGGACCTGGATTCCAAGGAAAAATCCAGGGTGGAACAGGATAGCACTGTGGTGGATGCTGCGTATTCTGCTCATTAGGTCCTACCAAACATATTCTCTCTTTTTGCATGACATGTCCAGGCAATTCATTCCCTCGAATGCTGCAAGGTGTAGAGGAAGATCCACAGGAGGAGGGTTCCTCTATTATTTCTCCACAACTGACTGTACCAGTCTCAACACATCCCTTCTGGTCTCCAAGGCTAAGCACAGTTTCCATGGATTCACAAAGAGGTACTTCTGCACCAAACTTTAGAACTGTTCCATTTCCCATGGAAGGCCTAAATGCAGTCATAGATTCACCAGGAGATAGAAGTTGTTGATTTGCTGAGTCAGGGGTTTCTATCCGAGTCGTTGGCACTCCACCAGAAGAAACTACTATCTGACGGTACTGAGAGGCCAGGTGCTTATTCTTCCTCCGCCCAGCACCAATAGGAACATTTCTCATTGTTCCACCAGCTGTCCAATATCTCTGGCAATTCTTACAGAAGTGTCGAGGTTGGTTGACATTGTAGTTATTGAAGTAACAGAATTTTGTGTCTAAGCTGTTGCATCGTGGACATGGAAGGACCTTGTCTGGCTTCTTAAAAACTTTCTCTTGGTCTGCACTATTTGTCTCTAGCTGTTCATCTTTGGGCTTAGAGTTGATCTGTATCTCATTCGGTTTCATAGAAATTTGGTGTTCTTTCTTATCATTTTCTACTGTAATGGACTTATCTGGCTCACCAGATGTGTTTATGTGAGAAGTTTCAGTTTCTGGGTTTGTTACCTCACTACTTTTGTCCTGGAATTCAAAATCAAAATAGCTGTCTCATTTATAACAGTAAATCATAAGCACTCGGCGAAGTGAGAAAAAAAACTGAAAATACAGACCACTCACTACCATTTTTCTTGTCTTTTACATTTCTTGTTGAAAGGAAAATCATAGATATTGTTCTGTTTTATTTGATTCACAGATAAGACGGCCTTAAACCAAAGTGAAAACCAACTTATACTCTAGGCTTCTCCAACTATATTAGTATTAACAAAAAAAGAAAAAAATGCATGTGCTTAACAATGATTGTCATAAAATATCAGTCACAAAACAACAATTAGCAGTCATCAACCCATCAGTCAAATTAAAGTTAAATACAAAATCCAGCTTAGCTCAATTGGTTAATGCAGTCACTTTTAAGAGTGGCATTCATTAGGTCTTAAGGTTCGAATCCCAATACCTACAAGCCCTTATCTTAGCTCTGGGCTGCGGCCTCCTTTATAAAAAATAAAAATTGCAGTTAGAAAGACTTAAAGTTACATATAAGAAAGTTGTTCTTGACCAAACTCAGACGAATAATGCTCAAACTGACCTCTTCCAAAGTTTACAAGAATTTGTTAGCAACAAGTTAGAAAGTGTGACCGTCATAATTACATGACTTTATGCAAAGGTACAGGCAATGAACAGCTTCTAATAAATCAAGTTGGACTGACTGCCTTTGCCTATAACCAAGACAATAAAAAATATATAAAATATATCTTTAAAAAGCAGTTTTTTTATTCAAAGAAAAGGAAAAGATAGTCCAAAAGGAAATCAAAATTACATGATCCAATCGAGTTTTAAAAAAATTACACCTGTTTGTTAACTCTTCATTTCTGTCAATGAAGACTTCACAACATCAAAGAAATTAAAACAAACTTCCCATATTCAGAAAATAAGGAACCCTGATGCACCGATCTTCACAAAACTTATTGTTATCAAAATAAATTCAAGCAAAATTCGTCAAAATGAAACAATAGTCACTTAATTGTGTTACAGTGGACAAACCTCCCTTATAAATAAAGAGTTATATACAGAAATATGTTTTGGAAAAATACCAACAAGGAAAAGAAAAAAGAGGCAGCAACAAATTTAGTTTCCTAAATGATCAAATTCTATAAAGAAACATGTCTTAGAAAATTCCTGATAAATATATAATCTTTACTGTAAAAATCAATCAAAAGGTTTCAAAATTTTTAAAGAATTAAAAAATTAAACATAATTTGTATCTGCTTACTTTCCGGAGCAACTAAAGCAACACTTGGCCCCCATTTTTTGCAAAATTTAAGCTCATGCTTAGTTCATTTAAAACCATATATTCAATGAAAAAACCATATAAATTATCAGAAAGGAAACTACACAAAGAAAAAATGAAATAATTTCTCATTTATACCAATAAAAGCAAACAGAGCTCATTCCAAAATCCAAATACAAGTCAATAAAAGTTTACAATAAAAACAAGATACGAAAAACATGTCTTTAAGTCCTAAAAACTTCAATTTTAGAACCAAAACAGACTTCAAAAACTCAAACTTTTCTAAGAAATCATAACAAAACCAAAAGAAGAAGAAAAAACCCATAAATATTAAGCTAACAACAACAGCTATAATGGGTAGAAAACTTCGGAAGAAAACATAAAAGGAATAAAATGAAACAAGACAAAAACATTAAACCAATGTAAAACAAAATGAACTTTGAATATATGTGAGCTTACCCCAGCATGAATCTGAGATTCAGGTACAGGAATCTTCCTTCCAAAGAGCTTGAAAGCTGGATCTCCGCCGTTCATTTTTACATAAAAAATTTGGTGCTTTTGCAACCATGAAGAGCAAGAACCATAACTCTTAAACCCAAAAAAAGGGTGTTTATAGGATGAGAAAGAGAGACCCTCTTGAGAAGAAAAGAAGCAACTTTTTATAGTGGTTTGAGTCTTTTTCTCTAAACTCCCATAAAACCTCTAAAAACACAAAGAAAAACAATCTATAAAGCAAAAAATTGACAAAAAAAAGTCTCTGAGATAAAGCATTAAGAACGTGAAGGATCAGACTTCAGAGTACATTTTTTTAAACCTTTTTTTTTTTTTTGCTTTACTATTATTATTATTTTTTTGAAGATAAGCCGTCTATTTGGGAAACTTTTTTTGATTTCCCATTTCTTGGCAGGGTTATTAAATCTAGGCCATGTCATCTTCTTTTTTATAATAAAAAATTGGCTACTGATTTTTTTTTTTGGCAACTTAATGATAAATTATTTGATTAAAAAATATAGAATAATTTTATGGAATCTTCAAAATAAATAGAACAAATCGAAATTTAAATAAAACTTTTATTATGGGTTTGTTTTCTTTGTCCTCACATTTATGTCATGAGATTTATGAAATTAATAGTATAATTACATCTACATCAGTGGACAGGAATCAATTTTAAAATTAAACATATCACGTTCTAACCCAATCATAATCTAAAAAACCAAAAAAATCAGCCATCAAGAATAATTTTTATATTTTTATTTTGAATCTAATAATAAACTATACGCAGGTTTATATATATAGAAACTAGTAAATTTTTATAATCTATTTGTAGTAAAAATAATTTAATATATATTTTAAAACCATGTCCTCTTTTTATTTTAAATGAACTAGCATATGTGAAACCATTTAAAAATTTTATAATATAAGTTAAAAGGTTAAAAATGTTTCTCTATTATAGTTCAATAATTATTTAAACCGTTAATATTTTATTACAATCAATAAAATATTTAATTTTTTATTTTGATTCAATTAAATGTTTAAATTGATTAAATATAATCATATGGTAAAATTTAATTAATTAATCTCAACTATAATTAATTAAAATCTTAGGGAGATTTTAGAGAAAGAAGGAAAAAGAAAATAAAAAAAGAAAATTTTTTTATTTTGTACATATATTAATTATGTAATATAACAAATTTTAATCTATTTTAATGATATTACACGAAATTTTATTTTAATTTATAAAAAAATTAACGGTGTTAATTTTTCATCTAAATAAAATTTTAATTTAATGTAAATAGATATTAAAAGAATTAATTGATTATAATAAAAAATTATAAGTTTGAATATTTTTCTTAATTATAGATCAAAAACTTTTTTATTTTTAACCTATAATTTATAATAAATTGTCCAAATTACACTTTTCTATAGACATTTCTCATCGTTCATGAGTTCTCTTTTTATTGATTAATATGGGTAGACATTGAGAAATGTATCCATTAAACTAAAAATGTGAAGCATTTGGGAACAAAATTGATGAATGAAGTGAACAAATTTAACAATTCTTTTTATAATATAATATGCTTAAAGATTAATCCAAAATTTTTATGATTATTATTTTTAATTGCACGATTTATGTTTAATAAGATATCTAAATATTTAATTTAATGATAAATATATATATTTTTTATTCAAAAAATGAATTCAATTTTTTTCAAAATAAAAATTCCTCAATTAAGAGATACTTTATTAATAAAAAAAATATAGCACATTACTTGTTAAATTAATTAAAATTTCGATTTGTTATAAAAATAAATAAAATTTTTTCAATTATTTTAATAAGAAAAATAAATGGGGTTAAATGCCAGCTGGCATCCGAATCAGCAAAGAGGAAGGCTTTTATGGCATGAGATGGATGCGATGACGTAAGAAAGACAAAAGGAAGGGCAAAAATGTGGGCCCTTTTCGTATAAAAAGGCCAAAAAAGGAAAAAAAGCCAGCCAAAATGAGAGAGGCAAAAAACAAAAGGGAAAAGACGTCTTTGCCAATTTGCTTCGACCCTCTTGCTTGGTGGGAACCCCTCATTTTATTTATTTATTTATCGAATATTTTAAAGGATTAATTAGTTTTTATTTTAGCAAGTTGTGAGGAAAAACATACGATCTTTTTAGATTCGATATGTCTGTTTATATTAAATACGTAATAAAAAAATAAAATTATTATATTATAATTTGTGTCAAAATAATAAATACATAAAAGTTTTATTTTTGTTAAATTTATATATAATTTATATATAAATTTTATTTTTTATTTTTTTATATAATTTCGTGTGATGTCATTATCCGTGTTTAAAAAAATAATGAGAGCCAGAATTTGAACTGAGAGGGTTTCAAGTGGAGACTTAATTTGAGATAAACATTCAATCATATTTTTAATACAAGCTATATATTAGATATGTGTATTTATTTTGAATATCTATCGATCCTTTTCAATCTTTTTCGTTTTTTTTTTCATCAAATGTTGCAAAAAGAATGTATTAATCATGGAATTAAATCATCTTTTCATTCTTATGAGAATCAAATTTAATGGTTCATGATTAATATTAATCAAGATCAATATTTGACAACTTTAATTAAAAAAAGAAGTAAAGACTAATGTTTTGCTTCATAATTGACTAAAACAATTAAACATAGTTATCTTTTGTAATATGACATAATTATATAATTAATAAATAAATTTTGTATATTTAATTATAAAAAAATATCAAAGATAAAAAGGAATAAAAAAACACAAAATGTTGATGCATACAATGCTAATTTATATCAAATAAAACAACAAACATTTTTTTTATTAAAAACTATCAACTGATAATTAAAGATATTTTAAATTTTTATGTTGATATGATATATCAAATCGATCTGATATATTTAATATCATATTAGTTAAGTTACGGTATTATTTTACCTCACGTATCTTTTATTTTATATTTATAAATAGAGATATTCGAATATTATCATTATATTTTTATTCTATTAATACATCCTTACGATTTTTTTTTGTCAACCTTTTTCATACTAATCTTTGATTTGAAGGTCAAAGTACAAAAGTAAAAAACATTCTTTATCTTTGATTTTAATTGCTCTCTTCTTTTTCTCGTAATTCTAAATTTTATCTCTTAATTTAGAGTTCGACACCAACACATTTCATTTATAATTTAATTTATAATAATCTTATAATTATTTAATTGTAACATAAATTAAGCTGAAATTTCATATAATATTTTAATAAATTTTACTTAATTTATTAACTAATTGTAACGTAACAATTATAAGACATATGGCCCAAAACAAATGAAAAATACCATGAGTAATTTGGTCAAAATTGTGAGCATAAATTAGGAAAAAGAAGATCAAGTTTGAAGACAAAGTACCACATTTTTTTTCCATTGGGACCCGCTTGTGTGGGCAGGGATTGGAGCACCAAGACAAAGATCTGAATGCAAGGTGAGAAATGTCAGAACAATCTCATCCTCATTTTAGGCCTTTGTGATGACTACTTTTGGCAAAAAGTGGCCCCTCTTCAAAGTTTTATTCACACTCAAAAAGCTAACCTTTTGTTGTCACCAGAAGAAAAGGTTTCGTTGTTGGCCCCATAAAAACACCTTTTTAACTTTAACTCTGGACCCTCCTTTTCTTTTTTTGGGTTTACTTTACTTCAAGAAGTAGCAAAGCCCTCGTTATAATCTGGTGTGCCAATCAATTTTCCCTGCATAAAAACCGCTTTTCGATATAGACCTGACGAAATTTTATGAAGTAAACGAACATGCCACATTTAATTCATTTAATTGATATTGTTATATTTCGGTTGTCACCGATTCAACAATTTTGAATAATAATAAGGCTATCAATAGATAAGATATCACGTAATTTTGAAGTATTTATTTTTTACATTTAATTATTTATTAAATTATACTAAAATTCGATAAATAACTAAATATTTATTTTTACTCTAATCTTATTCATATAATAATATAGATAATATCCATTAACTAATTGAACTCGCAAAATATTTGTTTATTAAGTTCTAAGTTTAACTTTCAACTTAAATTTAAAATTAATTTTAATTCATATTATTAAGAAAAATTAAATAAATAAATGAAAGTTAACTCATAAAAATAAATTATAATTAAAACACTTAATAAATTAATTTAAATATTATATTAATAATAAAGAATCTATATACTAATTTAAACATCGAAATATGTCTCATAATGACAAGTTTCACTTGCTTTTTAATTAACCTCTAGCATCAACAAATGTATTATAAACGTATCAATACATTTTAGATATAAAACACAACTATCTTAAATTTAATTTCTCTTAGCTTTGTAATATATTTATATTATGCAAACGGATCGTATCTAAAATTTTCTACTCTAATTCAATATGCTTAATAATCGAAGTGGTCAGTCATTTCTTGTTGATTTTTTTTTTTTTTTTATTTTCCCTGTTAAGTGGTTTTGGGCGTTGGGGTGTGAAGGAACAGATTTTCAAAAGTAAACAGTATCTCAAGTCATAGACTAAAAGATGAGAAAGCTGCCACTTTTTCCACCACTTTTGCGACCATTAAAGCAAACATAAAGTGATGGTTTATTTGTTAATGCAGCCATTTTCGCCCCATGATGTGTAAAAGGAATAAATTAGGCTCGGTCTGTTTAGTCAGAATCTCTTTAGTGCCTGTCAATGACCTGATAAAAGGGTTTTTGTACGTGATTTTTCTTTTGAGTGACGAATTTAAGACTATATAAGTGCGGAAGTTTTTTAATTTTATCCCATATTTTGTTTTTTTATGGATTCAAATAAACCACCCCCTGTATGAATCCAAATTGGGCTTTACTTGGATCAAGGTCTAGAATGGCCAACAGAAAAAAAAAATTTATTGGGCTTTGGATAATTTCACTGCGTTACCAACCTTCCATGTGTTAAAACCTAAAGCTTCATAAAAAAGGAGTTAATAACATTTCTTGTTTTCTTTTTGTAATTGATGTCATTAGAAATTGAATCCTAATAAGTGAAATTAAACAATTTTGGTGATTTATTTTTTTTTGGCATAGGAAGAGAAATTTTGAATTTTATTTTAAATAAAAAATACATGCATTTGTTATTAAATTAAATGTTTGTATGCCAAATATTATCTAATTTATTTTATGATTATAAACTTAGGAAAGTGTGTTTGACATTTGAGATTAATTTCATATGTAAGTTAATTGTCAACATCTTGGCCAAAACCAAAAGACAAATGTTAACCATAATGACAAGACGACAGCTATGTAAGCTTAGAATTGATCAAATTAAATAATTATAAGAGATTTTGAGTCGGAAATTATTTAAATCTTTATATGTTATTTTAAAACAAAAAGTTTTAGTTCGTTCTCTTTATTTATTAAATTTATTTAAATTAGTATCTATAAATAAATAATGAAGTTTTGAATTTCACAAGGGGTTTATTTAATAAAAATTAGGTTAATTTAAATTGTTTAAACATATAATCAAAGTCTTGACTATAAATTAAACCAACAATAACATAAAATAAAACATGCAGTTTCATGTTTCATCTTAATTCTTTCTTTATATGATAAGAATATCATTTACATTACTATATGTAATTTTTTTTAAATACTATTTTGTAATTTAAAGCTTAAAAAAGGGGTATTAATTTTGAAATATTAAGATGGTTGGATGGATATTAGATGATCATGAAGGGTTTCATCATTCTTCGGAAATTTCCTTCTCCAATCAAAGCAAAGTCAGTTTTGGTGGGTTGGGGTTAGAATTGGATTCGCCATTCATTGTGGGTTTGGGCTAATAGCTGGTTGTTTTGTTGGAAGAGTCGATTGAAAAAAAGATCTTTTAAAATTGTTTTTTCTTTGATCGGTTTACAATTTACAATGAGAGGGATTCAAACTTGACTGCTTCAATTATTGGAGGATATATGAGTTTATCATCAAGTCAAATAATCATTATTCATGGACAATTAATGTAAAATACCAAATTTTTATGAGTTACACATTTTTTATGACAACTTTTCTTTTTTGGAGATAAATTATTTTTTTATCAAACATAATTAAGATGGAATGAAGGTTCAAATCCTACTATTTAAATAAGGTGATTAAGTTAAATATTCAATTACTTGGAATAGAAAATTTATATATTAGATATCTTTTTTTTTTCTTTTTTCCATAATTGTATGCTTCGTTTTAGAGATTACATTTGCATATCCAAGATCACAATTCATGAGGGATTATTAGTACTCCTAGGTGAGCTACCTTCTCAAAGATACTTATTGTTGCTCAAATTTAGTTGCTTTTTAAACTTTCATCTTCTAATTAAAAAAAAAAAACTTATTTTTATATTTGAAATTTATGAAAAGATTTATCAAAAGTTTTAGTATCAATAATTTATTTATCCAAACAAATTAATTTAAATGGTAAAGAGAAAAGCCCGTGCTTCTTAGCAGTGGGCTTCAATTTTTTTGAAACACATTTGAAAGTAAATCTTAAATGAAGTAGATTAATGTGAGAGATATACATGCAAAATCATTTGGGAGAGGATAAGACTAAGATAAAGTTTTAGATACATTTAATCATATTATATACATAAAAAATAAATAAATTTATTTAACTATTTTCCAAAACTTCAATATTTAAAACAACATTAGGTGGGTGTCCGTGTGGGTTAAATTTTTTTTCAATTTTTTTATCTCTATTCATTAATTTTTTGTTGAAAAAATTACCTAATTAAAAAAAAGCAAAAAAGTACAAAAAAAAAAAACTTAAATGAGAGTGACACGTGGATACATAAATTAATCTCTTATTTTTACAAAATATATTTTATAAAAACAATTTTTTTACTTTCTTTATTTGTGTATGGAATCTACTTAACACCAAGCTTTCAACAAAAAATTAATAAATTATAAATATAAAATTAAAGACATAATGAAATATATATTTTTATATATATCACATGGTGACTTGACGTAAAGCATCATAAATTCATATTTATTTATCTCTAATTCTTATAAAAAAATTGACCCAAATTAATTCAACATCAATTTTTTGTAAAAATATTTACATCAAATTGAGATGAATAAGAATTTATCGAATTTTTATTATTTTGTAACTTTTATCAATTAACTTATTTTATTGTAAAATTAATTTAATTAAAAAAATAAAAAAATTTAAAAATATGAATGAAAACAAGCAAATTGGAGTTCTACATGGATATCTCTCATGAATTACTTTTTTACAAAAAAATTGAAAATAAAAAAAATAAGAAAAAAAAAAGTGCTATGTACCCTTACTATTGAGTAGATCACATAAAAAAATTAAAATCTTTAAAATATATTATTAAAAAAATAAAAAATAAATGACTTGACAAGAGATATATCTTTAATATTAAATAGATCAAATAAAAAAATAAAATCTTAAAAAATATTGGCTTTCTTTAAATAATAAAAAAATAAAAAAAATAAAACCTGTAACGTACTTTTAATATTAAACGTGTCTCACGTACAAAATTTAAATTTTAAAAAATATTAATTAAAATTTTTGAAAAATAAAAAAAGATATTTAAATTGTCTAATCTCAAAAACAATAATAGCCGCCATTACCGCATCATATCATCAAAGTCCAACTTATGGTTTACCGTTACCCACCATCATTTTTCTCCGCATTCCTACCTCTTTAATCCCACCTAATCACCCTTTGCAATTTGTCAAATGCCTTCAAATTTCATCAGAAAAACTACCCTCTCACCTACTCTTCTATATAAATCAAGGATTCTTTTTCTATTAAATAAGTTAATATATCCATTTATTTAAACAGTTAGACTTCGAATCTCCTATGTATAATAATAAAAAAATTTACCCCCTTTTAATCCTTATATTTTACAAAATTAATATCATAAACAAATTTTAAATTATAATAAAATATTTAATATGATAATTAAAATTTAAAAATTTTTAACATCGATTTCTTTACGTATTGATTGAAAATTTTTATTTTTAAACAACGACTAAGTTTGAACTTAAAATTTTCATTTTTACGAGTTTAAAACGAGCTTCAATATCATTTAATTAATAAATTATTGATAATTGATTCAAACTTTTGTTACTTTTTATTGTTTAACAAAGAAGATATAAGAAGATATAATAAGACCCATTTATTTCTGTATTTTGGAAGTGACAGTTGATTATACTACTTAATTACCATTTTCTCTCTAATCATTACTGTTTATGAACTTATAATTAGATAAATAAGTTTGTGTATATATTTTTTTAAATAAAAAGGGTTTCTTCATCAAGATATATTGTATTCAATGACAAATAATTGTGTATTTGAGATTAGTACCAATAAAATAAGAGACCCACCCAAAATTATTAGTTGTGAGACGGCTGAATTAAAAAAATTTGTTGATTAAAAGAAAAAAATTAAAAAAAACTATTTGTAGAGAGAAATATGCATTGGAACTTTTCAATTATGCACATTAGCATTTGTAACAACTTAGTTATATATATTTAAAAGATTATAATATGAAAATAACGAAAAAAATTATAAATATTAAAATTTAAAATTTAAATTTATTGAATATCATTTACTCAAAAATTAAAATTAAAATTAATCAAGTTAAATGTTGGGTTTTAATTTTTTAAGTTGATCTCAAGACTTTACAATACGATATCATTAATTACGCTTTAAATAAATGTGGCAAACTCAAAAAAGCACATTTTGGAGCATTTGCTTCATTGAAGACTTTAGGTCAAGCAGCAACAATTTCCAACATTAAATTCCGTTTATATTCATATAAAATAAATACTTACCAACTACAGAGAAGGGCATCAAAAGGAAAAAGGAGAGGACATTCTAGCAAAATACAGGACAAACCGAAGTCCCAAACCCAGATTCAAACTCTCAAATTCTTCTTCCCTCGTGTCTTGGTCTATACATAAAATAAATATGTAAAAATTATGGGTTTTTTTTAAGCTTTCCCTGGAGGTTTGGGATCATGGTTCTTGTTTGCTCCTGTCCCTGGATAATCTGTGCTTTGCATTAGCATCCTTTCCTCATTGACTGCATCTCCTTCCCCAAACAACTCCTCAGCTTCACTTAATTTTATTACATCCTGCAAAAATAACAAAACACAACCTTAATCAAATTATTACACACAACCAATGTAAAGAAAAAGAACTTATTAAAAAAAAATTTCAGCCTGACAGCTGTGCTGGCTTGTCAGTTTTGACATTCCAGGTTTTGTTTTTGCTCAAACATAAAAATTGTTGAAAAACTATGCTTATATATATAATCTGCCTAGAAAATTAGAAAACTTGAGAGAGAGAGAGAGAGAGAGAGAGAGAGAAGGGACCTGAGCAAGAAAATCTTGGACAGAAGAAGAAGGGAGTAGTTCCTTGTTTGACTTGAGGCTTCCTATAAAACCAAATAAATTTTGTATAAATTGATGAACCAAATTGTTAGCATCAAAATCCACGATTAAAAGCTAAAATATTAGCCTTACTTGTTGTAGGAACAGCAGAACAGGAAAGCAGAAGATGAGAGAAACCCAGAAAAAGTAGCATCAGTCTAACAAAGCCTTTGTTCTCCATACTAATGATCAACAATAATGACAAAAGAGAAAGAAAATTGGTGATGGCAAACAAAAGCATGTGGGCTTGGTGCTTTATATAGGGAAGAAAGAAGTGAAAATTCCCCTTTCTTTGTTAAATATTTATTCTTTTAATTAATCAACGAAATAATTGGAAAAAGAATTTAAAAGGTAAGTAGCAGTACAAGACAGCAGAACACAAAGTCAACTTCTTCCATCTATTTTATTTGAAGTGTGGGTGAGTTCCCACTGGCCTAACTCTATTCCTTTCCTTAATTACGTCATTTTCAAATCGTAAAATTATAACTTTTACATCAGATTGCTAGTAAATATTAATATATATAATAAAGTTATGCACATTAATGTTTAGATAATAGTAGCATGTGAATTTTTCTCTTAAAGAATTGAAGACTTAGCTTAGGACAGATACAAACAGATAGAGTTTCACGGGATTTAATTTGTTGTGTCACACGCTGGCTGGATATTTGACTGCCATTTCTTTTATCGAGAGAGAAAGGATATTTAGATTTGAGCTGGATTTGTTGAATAAAAAGTATGTAAATTTATCATTGAATCATATATTTAAATGTCAATGAGGATTTTGTTAAGTTAAAAGATTTCAATTCAATCACATCAACGGAAGTAAAATCAAACAAACAATAGATAATAATTTAACGTGGTTCGATCCAACTAACCTACATTCACGGATGAGAAACAAGATCCACTAGTTGTAAAAAATTATAAACATACATCAAATCATCAACCTCACTCATCAATCAATACTCATAAGATACTCTCAATCTCCTCTAGTTTTATTGAGTATTTTCAACCCAAATAAACGCAAACCCAAACCCTTGTGCAGCCTTTCAACATAACCAAACATATACCCATATGCTCTTATACATCATACATATGTGGATTCTCTCAGTCTCCTCTAATCCACTCACAAATAAACATACACACCCATAAGACGTAGAGCTCCAGTACTCCTATGGGGTGTCTATCTCACAAACCCTACAACTCTCTTATATCTTTTTCTCATACCTAACTCTGTAGAGACTTCACCTATTTATAACTATATAAACTTGCCCATTAAGAATCCTTCTCCTTTTAAAATTCTTATCTTGTAAGTCAAACTTGCCTATTAAAAATCTCTTTTCTTTTAGAATTCTTCTTTTGCAAGTCAAACTTACCTATTAAGAATCATCATTCTCTTATAATTCTTCTTTTGCAAGTCTTCTTGTCCATCAAGTAATATCTGACAAATCTCAAACAAATTTCTTATGAGATTTGAGTCATATTCCCAACAGATCTGAATTGGTATGTACAAATTATATAATTTATTAGAAAGTTTAGGTTTGATTTTTATTATCAATGATATCCTAATAAGCTTTATATAAATCAAATGTAAGTTGGTTGAACTTGATTTTTTGAATAAAAATATGTAAATTTATTATTGACTCAAATATTTTAATGTTAACTAAGATTGATTGAATTAATATGAATTGAATAATTTACTTATAAAGTTTATATTCAATTTTCATTATCAACAATTCCTGTGATCTTAGAATAAAAAAATCGTCTCTCATCCTAAATTTTTTTGCATAAAAAAATATTTAAAATTTGCAGGTCTTTTAAAAGGATATTCAAGTTGCTTAATATTGTAAATTACATTAATTTGGATATCTATGGGTTAGATGTGTTTTTCCAAAAAATTTATTTAAAGGTAAATTGCAATCTTACATTTTTATATAAAATTTTTCATATGTTTCACACAATCCTATAAACTGATTTTCGCTGCTACGGGCATTGAAACAGCTTTTTAATCAGGTTGAGCTTTTAATTGGCTTTGTTTTTGTAGAAGATTTAGCAGCCATGGCCATGATTGATGCTCCAGCGAGAACTCCCAATATTAAAAGTATTTTTTGTTTGCCCTTTTCTTTTCTTTTGGTTAACAAACTGGCGACTCAGATGTGGTAGTTGTCTCCACTCATATCCATCTTGGGAAGATTTCTCAAAATTTCCCCGACATGTCATGCAATTGGCATTAAATAATTTTGCTAAGGCCTAGCTATTATTGGCAAACATACCTACTTGAAAGCTCAAACCTTTATTTGCGGTTTCATTAGTTCTAATTTCTCTCGACAAAGAGGATATATACACCAACTTAAATTTTTATTTTCAAAGTTTTAATTAATTTTGAATCTTGTAATAAATTGGATTTGATTTGTAAGATATGATAGAACTACTTTATTCTTGTAATTCATATATATATATAAAGATATAAGAAAAGATCAATTTACACAAGTATGAAACTTTTTAGTTTTGTATTTATTTTTTAATAATTGATTTCAATAAATCTAAAAGATAAAAAAAATAAGTCAAAAAGAAAAAAAATAGTTTTATCTCATCTATTTGATCTATTGAAATTAATTATTAGAAAAAAATGTAAAACTAAAAAGTTTCATAAGTTAATCCGCCTCTAAAGATATATATATATATATATATATAGAAAAGATTAACTTACACAGTATAAAATTAAAAAAATTATACACATATTTTTAATAATTAATTTCAATAGATCCAAGGGAAGAGATTAAACCTTTTTTTTATTATTATTTTTACTTGTCTCTTTCATCCCATTGGATATATTGAAAATAATTGTTAAAAAAATGTGTATAACTTTTTTAATTTTACACTTTGTAAGTAAATTCCTTCTCATATATGTGTATATATATATATATATATATGCATATAAATTAATAAAAAGAAATCTATTTACACTAGTATAACTTTTATATTTTTTGGAAACATTGGATCAAAATTAAATTGATGACTCATTTGGATCAAAATAATATTTTTAAATGTAGCAATTTTGATCTAAAAATTAAAAAAAAAATGTAAGAATTACACTAATATAAATGAATCTTTACTCAAATGAAATTTTGCTTGGATAATTTTTTTTTAAATGCGTTTTAAATTTTAAAAATATTTATAACTTTTACTATTTTAGTTGAGATAATTAATTAAATTTATCAAGAGTTTACTTTAATAAAATGAAATGTGAGATGAAAGATGAATTTAGTACTTAAACATTTTATTTAATAATAAATATATATATAACTATTGTTGGGAAATACCACAATACCCACGCGCAGCAACTATACACAAAATAGCAAGCTCAAATCAAGAATAAAAACACACAAATATATTTGATTTGGCCCAACTCAAAATGGCCTACTCCAAACACAATCCACTATCAAATAAATCTTTACAATTGTGAGACTTTTAGAATGAAAAAAGTCTCTTAAAACTCCTTACTCAAAACTTAACCCAAAACCCAATTACACCCTTTAATAGCCTACTCACTTAGTTATTCTCTTGGTGTCTAACTCTCTGGGGTTATTAAACTAAAACCAAAACATCTTATTTATAAAAGTGAAACCCTTTATACCTTTACTAAACTCCCGATGTGGGATACAAGACAAATTCAAACTTACTTAACTTTCAATGTGGGATTCTGAGATTCAAGGCAAATCCCAACAACTATCTCAATGTTTTTATTTTAGTTTTTATTTAATAAATTTTTTTATCTCATTTTTGTTAGTGTAGACTTTTTTGTTTATTTTATAATTGAAAATTTGATGATATTTTTATTTTTTTGGTATTTTTGAGAATTTTATGAATTTTTGCTTGATTTTGTGGTTCTTTTTTGAGAAAAAAGCTCAAAGAGGTCTCAAGAAAATAATTTAAAATTTTCATTTTAATATATTATTACAGACATATATATATAATAATTCTCTTGAAAATTAAGAGTCTAATTGTAAAAACTTTGTGCAAATGTGAACATAAATTGAAATAATTTGAAAGCCGAGCTTTAACTGATCAGTGAAATTGATGTATAATCAATTTCTCTAAAAAAATTATGATTTGAATATCTTCTTCTTCAACTAAGAAAAAACTTTGGACTTTTTTGTTAAGTCGTGGAAAGACAGATTTGAATGCAAAAGGACATCAATTTGTACAAAATTACGAGTTCATTACAGTTCATGGAAAAAGAAAAGGATAATTTATCATATATATAATAATTACTCTAAAAAATATGAAAACTAGTATTATACTATTATTGATAGGTGAGAATATTTATGAGGTCTCTGTCACTTCCCTAAATATATATAAAATAATATTACTATCAAATAGTTAGTTTAATTGGTTAAGATTATTTTTTTTTATAAAAAAATTTAAATTCGAGTTTTATCAATAATCATTTATTAGAATTATTTCGCATGCACGAATCGTTTGTCTTAAACTGTTAGATAAAACATATTTTATTCTGACTTAAAAAATTAAATAATTTATTTATCTCTAAATTTTAAAAAAAAAAAATCATCATTTATTTGCTCTTATTTTTATTACAGTCATGCCTTCTTCAATTTCATAATCTAAAAAAACAAAACGATAAAGATATATTTTTAAATTCAAAAAATCAAATTAAAATTTTTTCTTTTATAAAAAATGTTTAAACTTGCAACTACTATTAAGTATATATATAATTAAAACATTGATTATTTTTAAATTAATTAATATATTATACGAATTAACATTTAAAAAATACGAATTCAAAAAAATTTATATATGTAATATTTCCTTTATTTGAATAAATAATAAGACGAAAAATTTTAAAAATAAATTAAAAATTTTTTTAAAAAATAAAACTTTATTACAACACGATGCTCACATGGTATTATTGTAGAATCCAAATTAATTAATCTAATATATTAGCATATAAGAAAAGAGTGAAAGGGGAATAAATGGAATCTAAAGAGGGCTATAATTGAACGGCCAAAAAAGAAAAGTCTAGAATTGATGGAAGACCTTCAAAGGATTGTGTTTGGGCGGTGGCCAGACAAGTGACATTCACATTTGTCATGTAATAAGATTTGTGTGACAAGACACAATTGTTTATTTTCTCATCCCAAGGGGTGGCTGAGGATGGCCCCATTTTCATAAAGTATTATTTTTTTCTTTTTGGTTTTTGTTGGGTAAGCATTTTCATAAAGTTATCTTCCATAAT